AGCTTACAGGTAGAGATGAAGGGGCAAAATAACATGGGTGTTCCTGATCAGGAAGTGGAAGTAGATGAAGCCTTCTAGGGACAACCAGAAGTAGCCTCACAGCCACTGGCATTGGTCGTCATGGGGGACTTTAGCCACCCCAATAGCTGTTGGAGAGACAACACGGCAGGGCACAAGCAAACCAGGGGGTTCCTGGAGAGCACTGATGACAACTTCCTAACACAGGTGATTTTCTTGCCAATGGGGAGGGGCACTCTGCTGGACCTCATATTTACAAACAGGAAGGACTGGTTGGAGATGTGAAAGTCAAGGGCAGCCTTGGCTGCAGCGAACATGAGATGGTGGAGTTCAGGATCCTGCGAGGAGGGAAAAAAGCAAAAACCAGGATCACAACCCTGAACTTCAGGAGAGCAGACTTTGATCTGTTTGGAGACCTGCTTGGAAGAATCCCATGGGACAGAGTCTGAGAGGGAAAGGGAGGTCCAAGAAAGCTGGTTGATATTCAAGGATCACCTCCTCCAAGCTCAGGAATGGTCCATTCTAACAAGCAGGAAGTCAAGCAAAGCTGGCAGGAGGACTGCATGGATGAACAAGCAGCTCCTGACTAAACTCAAATGGAAAAAGGAAGTATACAAGTGTTGGAAGCAGGGACAGTAATCTGAGAGGAACATAGGGACATGGTCTGCAGGGATGGGGATAGGAAGGCCAGAGCCTATCTGGAATTTAATCTGGTGAGGGAAGTGAAGGGCAAGAAGAAGGGCTTCTATAAATACAGGAGTAACAAAAGGAAGCCTAGAAATGTGGGCCTGCTGCTGAATGGGGGAGGGGTACTGCTGACAAAAAGCACAGAAACGGCTGAGGTGGTATTGAATGCCTTCTTTGCTTCAGTCTTGTCTGGTGAGACTGGCCTTCAGGTATGCCAGGCCACAGAAACCAGGGAGAAAGTCTGGAGAAAGAAAGACTTTCTCTTGCTGGAGGAGGATCAGGTTAGGGAACACTTAAGCATACTGGACATCCATGAGTTCATGGGCCCTGATGGGATGCATCCCTGCGTCCTGAGGGAGCTGGCCGAAGTCACTGCAAGGCCACTCTTAATCACCTTCGAAAGGTCATGCTGATCGGGAGAGGTACCTGAGGACTGGAAGAAACTAAATGCCACTCCAAGCAAGGGGGTTGGACTAGATGATCTCTAAAGGTCCCTTCTAACCTTGACCATTCTGGGCTTCTATTATGCTGTGAAATCACTGATAATAAAATATAATATAACAAGCCACTGTTGGGTTTTTGAAGCTACCTATTGTTGTTCCATATTTATGAGGGTCGCTCCTTGCCATAATTGGCATCAACTGAAAAAAGCTGGTGGCTGCACTAGCAGTAGCTACAGAAAAGTCCTTTATTATATGGTAAGTAAGGTTCCATATAATTGTTTAGCCCTTGGTCATTTCTAAATTCTTACCCAACATAAGGACCTCATCAGCTTCTTGCACTTGTCCTATCTGGTTGCTCAGCAGAACCAGTTTTGACAAGTTTATTTTGTGTTTCCTCAATATCCACAGCATTTAATGAGGTTCCTTCTAAACCAGCTCCTCCTAAAACAGCAGCCAGGTTCCAGTGCGGCCCTCCTGCCACTTACACCATTACTGTTCCAGAACCAGCCTCAGTGCAGTTTGAGGGAAGTTTCAAGCCTTGTGCAGCCAGCACCCTACATGGCAACACATTTATTTTTCTCTTCTTGGGTGACTCTTCTCCAGCTGTGGCTGGCTTTGTCAACCCTGCAGCTTGCATGGAATTTGTCTCTTTCTCCTGGCTGCAAATTGTCCTGGAGAAAATGCAGAAAGACTAAGTACCTTCTGTGCGTCAGAGGGATGGGGAGCAGAGCTCAAAGCAAGCTGTGGCTCTTGGAGTTACAGGGCCATCTTTCTCTATGTTAAAGCCACTAGCTCAATGCAGCCAATGTGTCCTTGTCTGCTTTCCTGTAGCATGCAGTTGTGCTGGAAGCCTGGCTATATGGACCTTGGCCCTAGGGTCTCAACATGCTCTAGGTGACCCTGCTTAAGCAGAGGGGTTGGACTAGATGATCTCCAGGGGTCCTTTCCAATCTCAGCCATTCTGTGAAAATGAGCTTTGCATCATATGCAGCCGCTGCCTTGTTACAGCGATGCTTTTCTCTTGGGAAACACCAAGAGAGGGAAGCTGGAACCCTCTTCTAGGTGACAAAATGAGTCCATTCGGAATATTTGAAAAAGCTCCTTGGATGGATGGGTTATGCCAGGCCAGTCTGTAAACCGAAGTGCATAACAAATGATTTTCCGTTTGGGCCCCAGTGTGCATGTTCTTCGTTGTAAGATCACAGAGTGACTGAAGTTGAAAGGGATCTTTTGAAGTCTGTAGTCAAAACTCCTACTCAAACCAGGGCCAGCACAGATGAGGTTTGGCAGGGGCAGGGCCTTGTCCAGTTGAAGTTTAACTGTGTCCACGTCTTTGGTCTACTAGGGAGACGCAAACTGCACACAGCACTCACTTCAGGTGTAGTCTCACAACTGTGAAGGGAAGGATCTCAGGGTGCTCAGTTATGTGTCTTGTATATGGGAAAGATACATTCCAAGTCATCTTTTTATAGGAAGAAATCAACTCCACCATATCCGTACATACCCAGGCTCCTAACTAGAGCTTGCCCATCTCTTCCCATTGGGAAAAAATATGATGCATGCCCTGACACCTGCCCAGGTGATGCTTTCACCTGCAGGTTAGAGACAGAAGCACCAACTGGCACTCCAAATCATGTCCTCAGTCTGGTATTGCCTCACAGCCCTCCCTAACCCCCGGCACACAGAAACTATCACTTTAAAAATCAGCCTCTGGCAGGCTGTGAAACAGCCCTTCTTCCAAAGCTATGCTGGTGCAGTGAGATTGCCAATAGGCCATGAGGCATGGGGAGGGTTGGGCACTCAGTGGCCTGCCAAGGCATCAGTGAGACAAGACCACAGTCCCTATTGCACCCCCTGGGGCACAGGGATAAACTGGGGCTGTTTGTTTCCTTGTGCAGGGCCAGGCATGAGCACAGCCTTAGCGTGAGAGGTGTTGTGCTGAGGGCCTCCCCCTCCCCTCTACCAACTCTCCCCTCCTACCTCCTCCCCGCTCCCCTCTCCTCTCCTCTCCTCTTCCCCCTCCCTCAGC